GAGCTACTAGTATAAGACATGACAGTGTGAAGAGCTACTAGTATATGATCAAATGTTCAAATATTTCTAGATATTAAATAATTTCAATTTATAGATAATGATTGATTATTATTGCAATTTATTAAACATTTTTTTTAAATGTTGGACAATTCCAAAACATTGTACAATTAATCACAGACAGAGAGTTACAATATTGATAGATGTCACTGGACACTTATTCTTATATTACATGTACAATAGTATACAACATCTGGTTCTAGAAAAAGCAAAGTAAAATATTTTTTTTATTATTTTTTTGGTTTTGTCCTCGACCTTTTGTGCTGTGAATTTTGATCCTGCGTTCCTAATCAGAATGTTAGTTTACCATTTTGGAGAAAATTTCGCAAATGTTGACATGTTCATGACACTGCTATGCTATTTACCTTATCATATTCTAGTCGTGGGAAACATGATTTTGAAAGAATTTTAAAAAAAATAAGAAATTTATGTGTTAAGTCATTGGGGAGTCAAAATGGCTCTAATATACCTCTTTGTAATTACTACTAACAGGCTGATACCTCTGCTGGTGGACTGTTAGTTCCCGAGGGTATCATCAGCCCAGTAGCTGAAAACTATTTAAGACTAAGGAATATTCCTTATGCAAAGCTCTTATTCCTTGCCAGCTTTGGCTATACATTTTGTTCTTTTTGGTTTTATCAGCTCTTCAATTTTTGAATTCTCAAATTTGTTAGCTTCGAGCATCACTGAAAAGGCATTATTTGTCGAAATGCGCATCGGGTACAGTAAAAGTGGTACCGTTATGTTGTACTCGTCTTCTTCTTTAACATACCATACCATACCATACACTGTATATAACTGTTTAGAAATGTAAATGTTTTAATGCTCTTTGTTCAATGTTATGTCAATTGCTATAAGATTAACTAGATACTGACAGTAATGCATAGTTACACCACTATCCCACGTTAGGGGGGCGCGTTCAAGCTAATTTAACCCCGCCACATTCTGTATGTGCCTGTCCTAAGTCAGGAGCCTGTAATTCAGTGGTTGTCGTTTGTTGCTGTATATCATATATGTTTTTCGTTCATTATTTTGTACATAAATCAGGCCGTTAGTTTTCTTGTTTGCCTTTCTACGGTGACCTATAGTTGTTAATTTCTGTGTCGTTTGGTCACTTGTGGAGAGTTGTCTCATTGGCAATCATACCACATCTTCTTATTTTTATATAGTATTTATAGCTAATAATAAAACATCAGCTATGTATTATATTAGTAAAGCATGAATTATACTTGGTACGTTGTCTTTAGATGTGGTATGAGTGCTAATGAGACAATTCCCCATCCAAGTAAAAATTTGTAAAAGTAAATCTTTATAAGGTCAAAGTACGGCCTGTGAGATTTTAATCCAGGATTAATTTGTGTGATTTGGGTAATACTCTTGTTTAGGAAACCTTTGGTAAAATTTTGATTCTTCATTGAAATGAAAAGGTATGATAAGGCCACCTTTTTGACCACTTGAATTCGAAAATAAAAATGTATTTCGTTCTAAGAGTACTCACAGTTACGGAAAGCTACAAATCCAATTCCAACTAGTAAATAAACCATGTTTTTCCAAACTAAAACTTCAATCGGCACTAATACAAAGGATACTTTGGAATTTTCACATAATTTTATGTACGAACATAACTGTCCATACTCCCTTCTAACGGATACTTAAAAAAAAAATCTATTAATATTCGATGTCTCTGAGCGGCTCAATCTATGTTTTAGTTTTGTTTTAATATTTGGGTTAGATTTTTTAAGATGTTGATTATATAATCAATGGTATAAAATATTACTTATTTAAAATAATTGATTTTAACACTTTTTAACATTTTATTACAATGTTAATACATACTTACAATAGGTTACATAATGATCAAATCAAATTCTCAAGGATATTGTCACCAACAAAGTCGAAAACTTGTGCAGTTGTTAATAAATTAAACACATGGCATATTTATTAGCATACATTGCACTTGGTTAGCACATGTTCAAGAGTAATGCCATAAAGTTCAAATTGTTATTTCATTGGACCTGAGGAAAAATCAGATGGAACTTTCTGATACATTTTTTTTAATTTCATATAAAAAAACGCACACATTCAAAACACACGATAACGAAAAGCAATACATAGAAGATTTACCAAAATTTTCAAAAAAGGGACACTTAATTTCAAAGTAACAATGTGAAAAATAACATATGGGCTTAATGACACGAAGACAGTACATTAACACCAGAAAAAATTCAGATTAAAAAAATGTGTGAAAAAATCAAGACATTTAGAGAGAAAAAACGCCAATCTAGAATATTTATTGTTTCGTTTCTATAGAAACCACATATTGAACATATATATTTTCATCAACAACAAGATTGTTATCATCAAGATACATTTTATTCAGACCTGAATTATTTATAGAAAATACAATTTTGAGATCGAACTCATTCAATACACTCAAAATGCCAAGCAGATAATTTGTCAGAATTTTGTTTGAATTTCCATATTTTTCGGTTAAAATATTATGTACGCAAATGCATACTAAATTAGAATATACTGTATTTTCGAAACCAGTTGAGATATCATCATAACATTGTGTATACATGGTAAGCATATTAGTAGCATTGAAAAAAGGCAAAAACAAATATGTATATAGCTCATCTGGACCCATGTTGTCAGTCACGGTCACATATGATTACTATAGACGCAGAATAATGGATAATTTTAAGTGCGTTTTTTTTCACTGAATAATATGTTTATGTATTCATCCATTCATCCATTTACTTTCGATGCAAAGCTCCATAATACAAGATTGATTGTCGTTTGCTTAACGTCCATTGGGAAATATTTCATGCATATTAAAGACAACAATAAACTAAAAATAAATCGGAAAGGTATGTTTACATGTAGAGATAGCGGACGTCAACTCTACCACTGGAAAATGAGAATATGTTTGAAAAACCATCTACGAAATCTTCAACTGAGAGTCGTCCAAATGACGTGGATGTAAGGAAAAATGTTTTATTAATCCTTTTTTATTCCTGGACCAAAACTATCATAATAATTATTATATTTTGGGAGGAGGCATGATGTCATGCATTAAAAGTAAGAAACAATTGTCACTGTAACAAGCATATATAGTATTCTGTTTGTGGTCACCTCCAATCCCGATCTGACAAATATTTCATCTACTGTCCTGTCCGCAAGCATTGGCATCTTATTCAAAATGACTCTTCCTCAAAAGAAATTTTTCGACCACCTCCAGTTATTGCTTATCGCAGACCCAAAAATCTCAAAGACATACTTGTTACATCTAAATTAAAAAAACAAGAGACCTCTAAAATCTAAAATCGGGTGTTACAAACAATGCGGAAGAAGTAATTGTAAATGCTGTAAAGTCGCCAACACTGAAAACTCTTTCACCAGCACAGTAACAAATCATCGATACAACATCTGTGTAACATCTAATTGTAAAACGGAAAATAGTATTTATATTCTTACTTGTGGGACTTGCAAGCTGCAATATGTTGGCGAAACAGAAACTAAATTCAACATCAGACTTAATGATCACCTGTGATTTTTTATACCAAAGGAAGAAACTGCCCAATATATATATACATGTCAGTTTTATTGTTTTCTGCTTTATTTAATAACAATCTGGTTGTTTGGATTTAAATTATATTCTTTTTCTTATGTGGAGAAAGCGCGGCAGGCGTCGGATTTTACTGGCGTCCCCTTTCCAACTGGACGTGGATTTGTATTAAATACATCTCTCACAACCAAACGGAAATTCTCTTTAGCCTGGGTTTAACTGCCGGTTTGGAAAAATTAGGGAATAACCATTGTTGTGACTTACCCTTCCCGAGCATATGAAGGCTCAGACCTAATGGAGTTTATGTTGCAAAGTTTAGTTTTCTGTGTAGTGTTTTGCGAACTTAACTATCTTTTCGATGTATTTCGTTTTTTTTGGTCATGGCGTTGTCAGTTTCTCTCGACTAACGATTCCTGAATGTCCCCTTGGTATCTTCCCACTCTATATTATAAGATGTAAATCGTGTTAATTATCGATGTTAAGTCTCATAAATCTTATATTAACTATTAAAACAGCATGTTTCAATAAACATTTTTTTAGCCTAGGTGTACTAAAAATTGTACTATTTTTAAATGTTTAAGAGTCAATGAACTATGACTGAGGGGACGGAACCAAATACTCTCTATGAAATGAGGTGTGCCAATTGCTAATAAAACAGCATACTTAAAATTGTACCTACTAGCAATAGTAGTAGGCCCCTTTAACTGACCTAATCGTAAACTGTAACACTTCAATACTTATACTTATCGATCTGCATACTAGATATCATTTACAATTGAAAAAAATTATTATGCTATGATTACCGTGCGCACAATGTTTCTGGTATAGCCTCCATCTGGTAGGCTCGTGACCAACAAATTGGAAAAAAAACAAAAGGGCTAAAAACGTACAATTAGATCTTGAAAATAAGCTGATTTACAATTTACCAATCGTACATTTAATATAAGCAGTATTTGTGTTTTAAACGTTTTCATTCTTACAGCACCATGCTTGAAAATGTACTTTTAATTCAGGTTGTGTGTTGTTCGTAACTTTGTTGTCATTGTTGTGCAGCGATTGTTGTGATTAAAGCTAGCGAACAATAACTAGCGAACAATAAGCCAGCGAACAATAAGGCGATATATCTAAAAACCGAAAAAATGAATAAGACAGCAACGGCCGTTAAATGAAAAATATTTAAACAGGCAGAAATTCCGTCCAAATATTGCAATTTCAACTCTATCATGAAATGGTATTTATCCCATCCATTGATAAAACTTGTCACATCTCTTTTTAGGCTAATATTCAGTACCACAGTAAATCTGCATCTGTCAACGGATTATTTGTAGGTGTAAAACCACCTATGCACCCGCTTCCATTTAGTACGTATGTAAAAGTAGTCCTTCCCTGTAAAATACAGCACCTTTGATGTCATTGTTTAATTGAACTAAGATACACATTTGCAGAAATGGGGGTTGGCCTATTCCATGGCTTCTTGAGAAAAATAATGAGGGGTGTCACGGGGTATGACTATATAGGTCTTGTAGAGGAGAAACAGGCGCATCTTTTGCGCAAGGTATTGAAGGGCGCTATGTTCAAAAATCTGAAACTAGAGCTCAAAATTTGAAAAAAAAAAATTGTTAAAAACAGGGGGTTGGCCTATTCAATGGTTTCTAGGGAAAAATAATGAGGGGTGTCACGGGGTATGACAATATAGGTCTTGTAGAAGAGAAACGGGCGCATCTTTTGCGCAAGGTATCGAAGGGCGCTATGTTCAAAAATCTGAAACTAGAGCTCAAAATTTGAAAAAAAATGTTAAAAACAGGGGGTTGGCCTATTCAATGGCTTCTACAGAAAAATAATGAGGAGTGTCACGGGGTATGACAATATAGGTCTTGTAGAGGAGAAACAGGCGCATCTTTTGCGCAAGGTTTCGAAGGGCGCTATGTTCAAAAATCTGAAACTAGAGCTCAAAATTTGAAAAAAATTGTTAAAAACTGGGGGGTTGGCCTACTCCATGGCTCCTAGAGAAAAATAATGAAGGGTGTCACGGGGTATGACTATATAGGTCTTGTAGAGGAGAAACAGGCGCATCTCTTGCGCAAGGTATCGAAGGGCGCTATGTTCAAAAATCTGAAACTAGAGCTCAAAATTTGAAAAAAATTGTTAAAAACAGGGGGGTTGGCCTATTCCTTGATTTCTAGAGAAAAATAATGAAAGATGTCACGGAGTATGTCTATATAGGTCTTGAAGAGGAGAAACAGGCGCATCTTTTGCGCAAGGTATCGAAGGGCGCTATGTTCAAAAATCTGAAACTAGAGCTCAAAATTTGAAAAAAAAAAATTGTTAAAAACAGGGGGTTGGCCTATTCAATGGTTTCTAGGGAAAAATAATGAGGGGTGTCACGGGGTATGACAATATAGGTCTTGTAGAAGAGAAACAGGCGCATCTTTTGCGCAAGGTATCGAAGGGCGCTATGTTCAAAAATCTGAAACTAGAGCTCAAAATTTGAAAAAAAATGTTAAAAACAGTGGGGTTGGCCTATTCAATGGCTTCTACAGAAAAATAATGAGGGGTGTCACGGGGTATGACTATATAGGTCTTGTAGAGGAGAAACAGGCGCATCTTTTGCGCAAAGTATCGAAGGACGCTATGTTCAAAAATCTGAAACTAGAGCTCAAAATTTTAAAAAAATTGTTAAAAACAGGGGGAATGACCTATTCCATGGCTTCTAGAGAAAAATAATGAGGGGTGTCACGGGGTATGACTATATAGGTCTTGTAGAGGAGAAACAAGCGCATCTTTTGCGCAAGGTAACGAAGGGCGCTATGTTCAAAAATCTGAAACTAGAGCTCAAAATTTGAAAAAAAATTTATTAAAAACAGGAGGAATGGCCTATTCCATGGCTTCTAGAGAAAAATAATGAGGGGTGTCACGGGGTATGACTATACAGGTCTTGTAGAGGAGAAACAGGCGCATCCCTTGCGCAAGGTATTGAAGGGCGCTATGTTCAAAAATCTGAAACTAGAGCTCAAAATTTGAAAAATAATTGTTAAAAACAGGGGGAATGGCCTATTCCATGGCTTCTAGAGAAAAATAATGAGGGGTGTCACGGGGTATGACTATATAGGTCTTGTAGAAGAGAAACACACGCATCTTTTGCTCAAGGTATCGAAGGGCGCTATGTTCAAAAATCTGAAACTAGAGCTCAAAATTTGCAAAAAAAGTGTTAAAAACAGGGGGGTTGGCCTACTGTGGATTCATTTTTATTCGTGGTATACCAATTTTCGTGGGTTTCGTGGGTCACAGTGAACCACGAATTTAAGAATTCAACGAAGAATAATCCCGAGAAATGTGTATGGAGTCGGATGTTTATTTCCGGTTATGTTATGCAGTTCTAGTATAGTGTTGACTAGCGATAAACATTGTAACATAACACGTGTTTTTATTGAAAGAAGATACTTGTATTTTGATTAAATCAATAATAAATATATCGAATATCAGTGATAATTTACTTTTTAAAATTGATTAAAACTCTTCATGGAAAATAACTGCAAGTTGTAATTACCGTGTCATAGTTTGGTTTACTGGTGATTAAAAATCAATAGGATTAAGTACAGGGATATTGCCCGTAGGTAATATTGTTTATGACAGGAACATTTATTTTCACACCTTTTACTTAAATGACTGTTTATTATATCGTGATTAGGGAAATGAGCTTTCAATCATAGAGTTTTGAATGCCTTATAAAATTCCGACAAGAATTTTTAAATTGTAAAACAAACAAATAATTAGTTGTCTCTGTCCATTATTGTAATAGAAGTTTTCAATAAACACTTTAGCCTAGAATGACCAAGCGAGGATTTTGACAATTCAAAACTTTTTCAATGAATTCCTTCTTTTTTGTTTGTTTTATTATTGATCAAACTAAGGAGGTTATATGATCTCCTAAATCAAAAAGAAATCCACGAATTACGAATCTGAATTTATTTTTTTTTTGTAATCAGCGATCCACGAATTTACGTATACCACGAAACGTCTTTTTTTCTCTTTCCACGAAAATTGATACCCACGAAAATAAATGAATCCACAGTATTCCATGGCTTCTAGAGAAAAATAATGAGGAGTGTCACGGGGTATGACTATATAGGTCTTGTAGAGGAGAAACAGGCGCATCTTTTGCGCAAGGTATCGAAGGGCGCTATGTTCAAAAATCTGAAACTAGAGCTCAAAATTTGAAAAAAATTGCTAAAAACAGGGGGGTTGGCCTATTCCATGGCTTCTAGAGAAAAATAATGAGGGGTGTCACGGGGTATAAGTATATAGGTCTTGTAGAGGAGAAACAGGCGCATCTTTTGCACAAGATATCGAAGCGCGCTATGTTCAAAAATCTGAAACTAGAGCTCAAAATTTAAAAAAAAATTGTTAAAAACAGGGGGGTTGGCCTATTCCATGGTTTCTAGAGAAAAATAATGAGAGGTGTCACGGGGTATGTCTATATAGGTCTTGTAGAGGAGAAACAGGCGCATCTTTTGCGCAAGGTATCGAAGGGCGCTATGTTCAAAAATCTGAAACTAGAGCTCAAAATTTGAAAAAAAGTGTTAAAAACAGGGGGGTTGGCCTATTCCATGGCTTCTAGAGAAAAATAATGAGGAGTGTCACGGGGTATGACTATATAGGTCTTGTAGAGGATAAACAGGCGCATCTTTTGCGCAAGGTATCGAAGGGCGATATGTTCAAAAATCTGAAACTAGAGCTCAAAATTTGAAAAAAAAATGTTAAAAACAGGGGGGTTGGTCTATTTCATGGCTTCTACAGAAAAATAATGAGGGGTGTCACGGGGTATTACTATAAAGGTCTTGTAGAGGAGAAACAGGCGCGTCTTTTGCGCAAGATATCGAAGGGCGTTATGTTCAAAAATCTGAAACTAGAGCTCAAAATTTGAAAAAAAAATTGTTAAAAACATGGGGTTGGCCTATTCAATGGCTTCTAGAGAAAAATATTGAGGGGTGTCACGGGGTATGACTATATAGGTCTTGTAGAGGAGAAACAGGCGCATCTCTTGCGCAAGGTATTGAAGGGCGCTATGATCAAAAATCTGAAACTAGAGCTCAAAATTTGAAAAAAAATTGTTAAAAACAGGGGGGTTGGCCTATTCTACGGCTTCTAGAGAAAAATAATGAGGGGTGTCACGGGATAAGACTATATAGGTCTTGTAGAGAAGAAACATGTGCATCTTTTGCGCAAGGTATCGAATGGCGCTATGTTAAAAAATCTGAAACTAGGACTCAAAAGTTAAAAATAAAAGGAAAAAACAGAGGGGGTTGGCCTATTGGTGTAATACCTCCATTGATTTTCTTTTTTTTTTTTTTTTTAAATATGCAGTTTTCAAAAAAATGTGGAGAATTTATCTTTGTTTCAAATTAAAAAATTAACATAACATTTCATTGCATATAAGAAAATAACTATCACTGTCAGTTAACCAATCAAATTTGCCCCTTATTTAACCTGTGTACAAGCTTTAGTAACCATGCAACCTCAAGTTTCCAAAATATTCTATAGAAACCCCAAATAAAACAATAATGATTCTTTGAAATACCCAAGATACATGTATATGTTTATGACCCAGAAATATTTTACTGCAATAAAATGATGGATTAATTACCTACAACTGTCAAATTCAAGGGAATATTTTTTTCGACCTATTTTTGTATGCAACCGGATGTGACGTGCCATGATTTGGTGGTATTACACCTGAAGAAGACATTTTTATTCAATAAACTGAAAGGGATTTTTTCCTTTGTAATACTGTTTTTTTCAAGCATTCCTGTCATGTTTTGTCATAATCATTTCAATAGTTTGAGAAAAATCTAGTATAATGTACGACGACATCTTCAGCGATTCGTGCAAAATTTCTTCAAAAATCCAAACCAAGCCGCATCATGATAGAATATAGTGTGGACCAATAATGATTAAATATTTATCTCATCTGTCTACAAACAGTTGAATTTGATACAAAAGATGACTTTAGGATGATAAATACCACTAATGGATCCTTTGTCTTCTTGATAAGGTCTCTTTTGGTCCATTTATACATGTCATTTCCTCAAAATTTCAACTTTTCAGGCCAGTAATTAAAAATAATGAAGTAACTTTCACTCATTTATGATAGAAATGTTATAATAAATTACATTGAGTAATTGAAGTATTCAAGCAGAATGAACAATCCATATAAAAGTTTACTGGAGGTTTTAATAATCCTTACGTAAAACTTAAATTTACGCTGCGTTCCAGAGAGGGACATAAAAAGCTTCTCTATTAGTGAATAATTTGTTGGTACTGCTTTAAAAAATAATCACATTTACTTATAATTATATATTTATTAAAATATTTCTGAGAGAAAACTTTCTAATATAGCAGAATATAAGAAAAAAAGGAGAAAAAGCTCCCCAAAACACCATGAAGTATGGCTTGTTCTGTTAACTAATATTCATGGTAGAGTTCAATTTCAAGGAAATGTTCTCATAAAATATGTTTTGGAGACTCAATCCACTCAGAATATTTCATTATTTGTAATATTTCACTTGAATAGCAAGAAATTTTAACACATGAGAGTACTCACAAGGTCAAAGGTGCATATACAGCACCCCATATTAGGTATAATACCACCATTGATTTTCCCCTATTAGTCTTTTTAAAATTTGCACTTTTCAAAAAATTGTGCAGAATTTATCTTTGTTTCAAATTAAAAAAATACTTGGGATGAGTAAAGTTTTATCCTGTCCAGTACTATAGAAAAAAATTCACATAAAATTTCATTGCATATAAGAAAATAACCATAACTGTCAGTTAACCAATCAAATTTCCCCCCTTATATAACCTGCGTACAAGCTTTAGTAACCATGCAACCTCAAGTTTCCAAAATATTCTACAGAAACCCAAAATAAAAAAAAATGATGCTTTGAAATACCCAAGATACATATATATGTTTATGACCCAGAAATGTTTTACTGCAATAAAATGATGAATTAATTACCTACAACTGTCAAATTCCAGGGAATATTTTTTCGACCTATTTTCGTATGCAACCGGATGTGACGTACCATGCATTAATTGGTGGTATTACACCTATTCAATGGCTTCTAGAGAAAAAAATAATGTGGAGTTTCACGGGGTATAGCTATATAGGTGTTGTAGAGGAGAAACAGGCGCATGGTTTGCGCAAGGTTTCGAGTTGCGCTTTGTCCAAAAACTGAAACTAGGGCTCGGAATTTCAAAACAAATTTGGGAAAAACAACTGGAATTTGCCTATTCCATAGCCTCTGGAAAAAATAATGAGGGATGTCGCGGGGTAAGACTATAAAGGTCTTGTAGAGTGCACACAGGCGCATAGTTTGCGCAAAGCTTCAAGAGGTGCTATGTTTAATTATGTCGAAAGGAACTAAAATTTAGTGAGGAACAAACCCAACTCAAATGTCAGACAAGAACGTGAAAATCGTGAAAAAGACATATCAGAGTCAGCAAAGAAGAATTTCTTGTCATATGAAGTCGAAATGAAAATCCAAATTCCCCAATCCGAATTATATGATGAAAGAGATTGTAAAATGTGTTATGTAAGTACTGATAAAAAGAAGGCTGAACACTGGCTGAATTTTTTTCAAGGGTATTTCGAAAAAGAAAACGATGAAGATGAAAGAACTTTAGTGCGAAGGCCAGCTGGTATACAACCTAAAAATCTATATACTATTACAGACTTAATAGACAGTCTACTTTGTATTATTTTCAAAAGTCTATTTATATCAGAGGTTTTGTACCAGAATAAAACAAAATCGACAAAGAGTACTGAGTTGTTAAAAAGATATGATAGTAAAACTACATACAGACCAGTTAACTTAATCATTGACAATCCAAGCGCCACATTCTTAAAGACGGTATAAGTACCATCGTCCACGTGCGTGCATTGTCTGATATAAATAAATGTTTACTAGGCAAAAATAGAAACGTTACCCTGGTTTTTAATTAAAAGAATTTACATATATTAATTTATAATATTTTCAAGATTAAAACTAGTGACCTGAATGATTTATCTATCATTTACTAATTTGTTAAAAATTCGAAGACGACGTTACGTCATTTTCTGATTTTAATCAAATAAGCATTTTTTCAAACATTTACCTGTATCAAGATGGAATTGAGTTGTCCTTTTGGTCATTAAATGTGTCGAGCACTATTGTTAACAAAAGGCCGCATTAAAAAATTGAAAAAGTTACACGTAAGTCAATGCCACGTCTACGTCATAATGAGAGAGAACGAGCTATTGTGTTTTTGGCAGCAAAAATGACTCTAATACAGGTTGCAAATCATCCCAATGTCTCTAGAATGAATATTGAAAGGCTTAAGACTCGTCTTAGAGATACTGGCACGACAAATAATCGTCCCCGAGGTTGCAGGCAACGTGAAACGAAGTTACGGCAAATCAGTCACATCCGCATTATTCATCTCCGGAATCGATTTGTAAACTTGTCACAAACAGCACGACAAACTCATGGAAGAAACAAAAACAGGCTTTATTCTCTAACAGTTTGTAACCGACTGCATCAAGTTTGCCTAAGAGCTCATCGTCCGTTTAAAGGGACCTATCCTTACGCAACGTCACAGGATGTCACGACTTGAATGGACTCGGATACGGATTCGATGGAATAGGCTAACATGGAGACAAGTCCTTTTTACCGATGAATAGAAACTCAACTTGACATTTAGCGACGGCAAAGCCAGTGTCTACCGGAGGTGCAATGCATGATTTTCTGATGCGTGCGTACAGGAAACGGATCTGTTTGAGGGTGGCGGAATTATTGTATGGGACGGAATAACCTACCAGGAACGCACCGATCTGACAATTATTGAAAGTAACCTAAATACAAAAAGGTATAGGAACGAAATTCTGGGTCCACTCGTTCTCCCGTTTCTCCGAAGGCATCGTTTTGACCACGTTTTTCAGCAGGACAACGCCCGTTGTCACGTGGCACACATTTCAATGATTTTTTGGAGAATAATCACATTCGTGTGTTGCTGTGGCCAGCAATGTCTGCAGATTATCGCCAATGGAACATTTTTGGGACGAACTTGGACGACCCATCAGAAAGAGCCAAAATCCATTGGAAACGCTCGCCAATCTCCGAACAGCATTTTTCAGGGAATGGAACAACACAAACGGCCATTGATAAAGAGGGATGATCATGGGTAGATCCTTCAAATACTGGAACATGAACGACAACCATATCACCATTCTGAAAGCTCCGAGGGCCAGTTCGGATGCTGTAATGAAATGGTGGGTTATTAAAAAAGTAAAAGACAGCACGTATGAAACATAGTGCGACCAGATTTAAACGGATATAAAATGAATGAAGATAGAATATGATGCAGCAATCAAAGAACATGAGAAAAAATAATGGACAAGCTGGAAAAGTGTGACCACAAACTCAAACATGCAGAACCATTTGATTAGTTAACTTCACGAAAATAAAATGGCAGAGGACAAGGTGATGAATTTTGGTATGCAAAGAAATAGTAAGAACAAGAAAGAGAAATTCAATAGATTGACGGAGTGAGATGTGTTAAAATAAACTAGAGTAGATATCGAGATCTTAAAAATTGAGGGTAATACGTTGCATCATAATCATACCTCTCGTAAATACCACACACATGACGTTTACTATGTGTCGCACTTAATGTAATGTCACGTCACTTTGACATGTTACTATGACTAGTACATCTATCACATAGTCAAGAAATCTTTTATTTCTATCTTAAGAAGGGAAAATGGATACAAAGCTGAAAGCCATTCGTTTCGGACATAAACGAGCACTTACAAGACTTTGGAAGAATTTTGGAGACATAACTG